TCACTTTTGGGTCTGGGTTGTTCCGTAGGGCTTTAACTCTGGGTCTGGGCACTGTCCCTGAGCTCTTTAGCTCAAGGCAAGCACTCTACCACTTGAGCCACAATATCCCTTCCTGTTTTCCTGGTGGTTAATTGCAGATAAGAGTTTCACAGACTTTCCTGCCCTAGGCTGGCTTTGAATATTGAACCTCAGATCTCAGCCTCCTTAGTAGTTAGGATTATAGGGGTGAGACACCAGCACCTGGCTTCATTGGCTATTTTTTTTTTTGGGTCCAGTCGTGGGGCCTGAACTCTGGGCCTGGGCACTGTCCCTCAGCTCTTCAGCTCAAGGCTAGCACTCTACCACTTGAGCCACAGCGCCACTTCTGGCTTTTTTCTTTTTGCTTATGTGGTGCTGAGGAATTGAACCCAGGGCCTCATGCATGCAAGGCAAGCACTCTACCACTGAGCCACCTTCCCAGCCCTTCATTGGCTATTTTTTAAATGAGTTCACAAATATGTCATAGAAATCCAACAAAGAAACCAGGGTGATTCTGCTTACAGTGAAAACTCTAACCAATTTTTTATTCAAAGATAAAGCCCTTCATCTACTACCCAAACCATGTATATTTAGTATGTACAGACTATCATGACACTCCTGTACTTATATACACTAATACTTCTTAAAAATTAATTTTTAAAAATAGCCTGAAAAAAGTAGAGACACTTTTAATAGTATTTAAGACTGCCACATTAAAACCTAGCACTGGTGGTTCATGCCTTTAATCCTTGCTAATCAGGAGGCTGAGATCTGAGGATCATGGCTCAAAGGCAGCCCAGGTAAATAAGTCCACTTAGCTCCAATTAACCAACAGAAAACTGGACGTGGTGCTGTGCCCAAAGTGATAGAGCAAAAGCATTGAGCAAAAGAGCTCAGAAACAGCGCCCAGGCATCAAGTTCAAGCCTCACAACCCAAGAAAAATCTTTAAACTTTTTTTATTTATTTTTTTTTGTCGGTCGTGGGGCTTGAACTCTGGGCCTGGGCGCTGTCCCTCAGCTCTTCAGCTCAAGGCAAGCACTCTACCACTTGAGCTACAGCGCCACTTCCGGTTTTCTGGTGGTTTATTGGAGATAGGAGTCTCACGGTCTCTCCAGGCCGGGCTGGCTTTGAACCGCGATCCTCAGATCTCAGCCTCCTGAGTAGCTAGGATTACAGGCGTGAGCCACCAGCGCCCAGCTAAATCTTTAAACTTATAGTGTAGTCAAATTAGGATTTATCAATGATACTTTAAGGGAAAAAAAGGCCTGTATAGCCACCTTCCTTTCTAGATCAAAAAGAAAAGGCAAGCAGAGCTTTGGTGGCTCATACTACTGAAGAGGTTGAGCTTAAGGATTAAAGTTCAAAGCCAGCCAGCGCAGGAAGTTCCATGAGACTGAAAAGAACCTTGCAACAAATGGGCACACTTAAGACTACCCTGGTACAACTTGATTGACTCCCCCCCAAATCATATCATTTTAGAAAGGGTGGATTTGATTTTGGATCCAACTCTCTTCACAATTTCGTCCTGAAACCATAAACATGTAGGTACATCGTGACTTGTTCAAGTACTATGTTCATAATTGGGACACTGAAGACACAGTGTGCAAGTTACTGGTCCAGAACTAAGGCGTTGGCAACACTGATAAACAATACTTCCTGGACTGTACAAAAAAAAAAAAAAACATAAAACTTCAGTTTAAAAAAAAAGAGGTAGCCGGGCACTGGTGGCTCACGCCTGTAATCCTAGCTACTCAGGAGGCTGAGATCTGAGGATTGCGGTTCAAAGCCAGCCTGGGCAGGAGAGACCGTGAGACTCCTATCTCCAATAAACCACCAGAAAACCAGAAGTGGCGCTGTAGCTCAAGTGGTAGAGCACTCACCTTGAGCTGAAGAGCTGAGGGACAGCGCCCAGGCCCAGAGTTCAAGTCCCACGGCTGACCAAAAAAAAAAAGAGGCTAAAAAAGAGGTAATTGTGGCTTTGCTATGGTACTGGTCAAAGTTCAAGACTGTCCCTACACAGAGTGGTCAATGGAGTAAACACTAGTAGCAGCTTCTACAAAAACTGGATCCACCTAACACAAGTTATGGCTAATTTTTTTTTGTCGGTGGTGGGGCTTGAACTCTGGGCCTGGGCGCTGTCCCTGGGCTCCTCAACTTGAGTCAAGTGCTCTACCTCTTGAGCCACAGTGCCACTTCCGGTATTCTAGTGGTTTATTGGAGATCAGTCTCACAGACTTTTCTGCCCAGGCTGGCTTTGAACCATGATCCTCAGATCTCAGCCTCTTGAGTAGCCAGGATTACAGGCGTAAGCCACCAGCCCCCAGCTTGGTTAATTATGTTTTGGCAAGATGTTTCTCCAGTTAAAAAGGGTACCGGTTGGTTCACACCTGTAATCCTAGCTACTCAGGTGGCTGAGATCTGAGGATCGCAGTTAATTGGAGACTTGGCTCCAATTAACTATCAGAACACGAGAAGTGGTGCTGTGACTCAAGTGGTAGAGCTGCTTGCCTTGAGCTGAAGAGCTCTGGGATAGTGCCCAGGCCCAAAGTTCAAGCCACAGGACCCACCAAAAAAAAAAAAAAAAGGCATCAGGCAAAGCAGAGTTATCTTGCACATGCAAGTACCAGAGAAAAGCACCTACTTTGTTTCAAGACAGCGTCTGTAGTCCAGGCTGGCCTTAAACTTGATATCCTCCCGAGTATGGAGATTACAAATGTGTTAACATACTAACAATAGCTTTTCATTTTTTGTTTTCAACTTACTTCAGTCTATTCACAATCACAGAGAAATCTAAAGCTCTTCAGAACCTAGGCAAACTCCCAGAAGGCAATGAGGACTAAAAACACTAATGCCACTGCTACTGCACTTCATTTGCCATAAGTTAAATAGGAATAATTCATTCCAAAAGATCCTACAAGACACACTGAACCTAAAAGTAGACACCTAAATACAATGCCAAGCCAATGACTTTCAGTAAATGGAATGATGACAAATCTACATGACAAATCTACAAGTTGCTAAATGACTGAAGAGAAAGTCTGAAAAATCTCCATTTCCCCACCACACCAGCTAAAAATCTGAGACATCTGAGAACTTTCATCCAGTCCACATGAACTGAAGACAGTAGTACTCTTCGAAGCTACCATAAAGTAGGGGCCACAAGAGTTTGTTTGGTAACTGGTTCTCAGGAGCTAGACACATTGAAATCCTTTCAACATAATCAAAATGTTGAAATCCTTTCAACATAATCAAAATGCAATTATATTAAAAGAAAATTAAAAACTGAGACCAGAGCTCAATAATAGGGCAAAGCACATGATTAGCAAGAATAAAACCATGACTGGCTTCCCACCACAGGAAAAACAATATTTAAACATTGATTAAAAATCAAGTATTTCAGTGCAAGTGTGTCCCAACACTTGGGACTCCTGTTACTGTTTTACACTAGTTACAACGCAAACGCCCTTCAGTTCACTGTAAAAGCATCTAGACATGATCCTCTAACAGCACCGTACTAGTATCAAAGGAGGCCGCATAAAATGAAGTCACATGTCAAGAGTAGTAATTTACTTATCTCTTCTGCAATCCCACTTTTTGCACTATGGAAATTGACAAAGCCCCTTTACCAACTAAAGTCAGGAGGCATTTCATACTTTTCAAAACCCTCAGATTTTGCTTAAGAACCAGGGTAGTAAGTCATCTTTAAAGACTCAGTTGTGACTAAAGATAAGAACTAAGGCTCAGCGGTAGAGTGCTTTTGCCTTGCACGCATGAGGCCCTGGGTGCGATTCCTCAGCACCACATAAGCAGAAAAAGCCGGAAGTGGTGTTGTCACTCAAGTGTGCTGGCCTTGAGCCGAAGAGCTAAGGGACAGCGCCCAGGCCGAGTTCACGCCTACGACCAACCAAAAAAAAAGAGCTAAAGTGATAAAGGTCTTTTGCATAGCTGATTCTGATCAAAATTTTTACTCAAAGGTGCCAGACACACAAATAATCAACATTCTTACCCAGTTTGTCTACATTTGGCAGGGAGAAGAAAACTTTATATAGAATGCTCCATTAAGAGCTTCCAAAGAAATACAACACCCCAATCAAGAACCTCCCTGGTACAAGGCTCTATTTCAATAAGTAGTAACAATGATACCCTTGTTGGAAGAATCCAGTTGCTTAGTACGCAAGAATTTAACTGGAAGAAAAAGCATTTCCCCATTCAAAGACAGTTCTAAAGGGTCCAAGTTTCTTTTGGTCGCCTGGTAATGTTTTTAGATTTAAGTTTTTGTCATTAAAAATGGAGTTGATTCTGCCCACACGATTGTGGCTCAACCCAGTATGTTATGCAAAATAGGATTCACATTTAAAGAAGCAATAAAAGCGTGGAGACTTGTCAGTCTTTAATTGGCAATAACGTTGTTTATTACATTAATAATCTTTTGGACCGGACCTCAAGAAACGCGCGACCTTTGAAACACAAGTTCAGTAAGTATTTAAGCACCAACTCAAAATCACGCTGGGAAGCACGTAGCTTCTTCTATGAAGTTGCAAGTGACACGCCACAGATTCGGGATGGAATTTCCCCAGTAGTTCAAGCAAAAGGAGGTGAGACGCCGGTTTTTTAGGAACCAAGCCGGTGCCGCTGGCACGTTAAGGGACTTGTAACGTTCACCTTCCAACTCAACCACGGAGCCACCGTATTAAGTCTTGAAATACACACTATGGGGTCTCCAAGGATTAAGTCCACCACGCCTGGCCGAGGGTCTTGCTCGACCACTGCGGACGCGCGTGTCTGGCCCTGTTCTCGGAGGGAATCGGAGAGTCCACTGAGAACGCCCGGAGAAGCTTCTCTGAGGCGTGGGAGAGCCAAGGGGATCGTCTAAGGCCTTTCAGGAGCTTCCTGCTCTGCGGAGGGGCCGCAAGCAGCCAAGAGCCCCCCGGGAAAGGGAGCGGAACACCCCGGACTACGGAATCCGAGTGCAGGACCTCACCTTGCTGCGGTCCTCCTCCTGCTGCTGCAGCACCTCGGGAACCGCGGCCATGGCGACGCGGACCTCGAGCTGGGGCGGCCTGGGCTGTGCGAGGAAAGAAGAGGCTGGGCCGCCGCCGCCGCCGCCACCTCCGCCGCCGGGGTGCCTCTCAGGGGCGGCCGCGGCCCCGGCCCCGGCCCCGCCTCCGCTGGCCTCCCTGCCCGACGGCAGCCTGGAGACCTCGGGACTCCGCCACCATCCCAGCAGCCCCGGGAGCAGGCGAGCAGCAAGCCACGTGCTTCCCCAGAGCGGCCTCCCCCGTCCCCGCCGCCGTCCATCTTGGAGCCGGGCAAAGAAGCAAGGCGGAGCCTACCCTCGCTCCGCACCACACGAAGACCGCACAAGACCGCACACCCGAGACGGAGACACCGAGACGAGGAGCCTCGGGGCCTCTCTCACGGAGGAACGTCCCGGAAAAAAAAGAGCGCGCTCGCCTGCGCGGTGGAAATTTATTTGCTCAGCCCAAGCCCAAGATGGCGACGAGCAGTGACGTAGCAAGATCTCGTGAGAACAAGCACACGAGATTTGGAGACGCCCGCGCTTCCGCCTGAAGGCAGAGACTCCGCACCGAAAGCTTCTCGGAGCTGGTGAGCCAGGGGCTCAGAGGGTGGGGCGCGAGTGTCGCCGTGCATGCTGGGACTGCGTTGTCTGGGGGCGTGGCCTGGCTCGTGGGTAAAGCGCGGGAACGACAAAGTTCCGGTCCCCAGAAGCTGTTGGCGACCGCGGTTTTTGGCCAAACGGTGTGGCATCTCAGGTACAAACTGCTGCGGTAGCCTAGGTGTCTGTTTCTTTCTTATCCAAGCTCCCTCACGAGGTGCCTTCCCCGTCCTGTCCGTGTCGTAGGTCCTCGTCGTGGCAGTGAGGTGTGCGCTCCTCGGGGATCACCATAGTGGATCTCGCTGACCGCTTATCCTCTCCGACCTGCCACAAGTAACGGACCCTCCACAGGCTCCAGTTCCGTGTCTGTAAAACGCGGTCCCAACGGTGCACACCGTGGAGAAGGGCGAGGCCAAGCGAGATATGTCCCTACTGTTCTTGACAAACCGCACTGACCGGGCTGGTTTTGAACTCAGGATCCTGCTACTGTCTCAGTGTAGGAGTGTTGGATTAGGGGGGTGGGGCTAGGGGAGCACGCCTACCTGCAAAACGAGCTCCTTCAGTTTTACTGTGTTCGAGCATCATATTTCTTCAATTTAAAGATTGGGAGAGGCCGGGTGCTGGTGGTTCACGCCTGTAATCCTAGCAACTCAGGAGGCTGAGATCTGAGGATCACAGTTCAAAGCCAGCCCGGGCACGAAGGTCTGAGAATCTTATCTCCAATAAACCACCAGAAAACCGGAAGTGGTGCTGTGGCTCTAGTGTTAGAGGTACAGTGCTTGCCTAACATGCACAAAGCCCTGGGTTCGATTCTTCAGTATTACATAGACGGCCTGGAGTGGCCCTGTGGCTCAAGTGTAGAGTGATAGCCTTGAGCAAAAGAAGCTTAGGGACAGTGCCCATGCTGTGAGCTTATGCCCCAGGACAGGCAAAAAAATACAAAAAGAAGCTCAGGTAAAGTGCCCAGGCCCTTAGTTCAAGCCCCTGGACTGGCAAAAATAAAAACACTAGATTGGAAGAGTCTTGCCCCAAGCTATCTACTAATGAATATCCTTCTAAATTCTTTTTTTTTTTTTTTTTGCCATACTGGAGTCAACTCAAGGCCTTGCTAGGCAGGTGCTACATTCTTTCATACTTTTGAATACAATTTTGATCTACAATTCCATACTCATGCAGCTTTCAATTTACTGTTTATATAAAATACCTGGTACCTAACACCCCCTTTCTCTTTGAATAGGAATACAAAATCTAAAAAGGATCTCTATCTTGCAAACTTTTGAGAAAAGTGAAAAAAAATGATGATGAAGGCATTTCAGACCATTTGTAAGCAGCTCAGAAGTTCAAAGAGTTTTACTGTAAGACAAGGCACTTTTGTGGATTTCTCTACTTCCTCTTATTCATATGTCCGGAAGAAAAAAAATCCTTATGAAGATGTGGACCAAGCAAAATATTCTCGATTAGTCAAGTCTGTCTTGTCATTTGGAGGCCTGGCCCAGACCCCAGAATCACTGTTGGAGGAAGATGCTTTACTCTTTGGACCTGTGACTAAACATAAGCCTCCAAAACCAAAAGAGGAGGCAAAAGTTCCACAAAACTGGTTTCCTCTCTTCAATACAGAGAGAAGTGAAAAGCCAAATAAGTGTGATTCTTCAATTCCTTTGAAAATTCCTTTACAAAGGAAGGCAATACCAAGTGTGACCCGTGTACTTCAGCAAACCATGACATCAGAACAGATTTTCTTTTTGGAGAGGTGGAAAAAGCGGATGATTCTGGAACTGGGAGAAGATGGATTTGCAGAATATACTTCAAGTAATTCTCTTAATTCTGGTTATGTATGCCTATTTTCTAAATCATAGAGCATTACTAGGAGTAAAGCTTTAAAAGGTAAACTAGTGAAAAACTACTGTCAACTAATTAGCATTAAATAGCACTTCATGTTTATCAACTTGCTTAATCCTCATGAAAATATTCTGAAACAAATATGATTATCCTTATAGGTGATACTAAAGTACAGAGATCAGGTAATTTCATGCATGAGATTTGAAGAACAATGGTGGTGCTTGCCTATAATTTCTGTACTCAGACAGGAGGATCTGGAATTTGCCTTACTTAGTGAAACTCTGTCTCAAAAATAACAAAACAAAAAAAAATAGACTTATTGTAAATAGTACCAAAACAGAGCATTCATTAAAAAATTAAAAGCACACTTGCCCATGTAATTGTAACCCATCTGTACAGTATTTTCACAATAAAAAAAAAGACAGAAAAAAAATTAAAAGCACAGCTGGTAATGTGGCTTAGTGGTAGAGTGTTTGCCTAGCATGCATAAAGCCCTGGGTTCCATTCCTCAGTACCACATAAACAAAATGAGCTGGACATGGACCTGTGGCTCAAGTGGTAGAGTGCTAGCCTTGAGCAAAAGAAGCTAGGGACAGTGTCCAGGCCCTAGGTTCAAGCCCCAGGACTGGCAAAAAAGTCATTTAAAGGTTTGTTTTTTTGTTGGTGGTCATGTAGCTTGAACTTGGTCTGGGTGCTATCCCTCAGCTCTTCAGGTCAAGGCTAGCGCTCTACCACTTGAGCCACAACACCAACTTTTGGCTTTTTCTGATTATGTGGTGCTGAGGAATCAAACCCAGGGCCTCATGCACTCAAGGCAAGCACTCTACCATTGAGCCACCTTCCCAGCCATTAAGATTTTTATGTTGCCTGTTTAGAGAGCAGTTAGATGGTTGTCACTAATAATAAGAAATTAAGGTACCAGTGACTAATTCCTGTAATCCTAGCTACTCAGGAAGCTGAGATTTGAGGATCACAGTTCAAAGCCAGCAGCAGCTCTTAAATCATTTGCTTTTAGTAAATTGAAACATGTTTAATGTTTTGAGCCCTAGATTGTAAAAGATCCTGAAATTTAGATTTCTATGTTTATGGTCACGTATATGTGAAGAGTCTAACCAGGATTTAGGTAGGTCTGCAGCAAGGAATTATCTATTTGTATAGTAGTAGATAGAAGGCTTTTTGTTTTCCTTTTTCTTCCTTTTTTTTCTTTCCTTTTTTGTGGTCTTGGGGATGGGAACAAGTGCTTCATGCATGCTAAGCAAGCACTCAACCTCTGAGTTGCATACCCAGCCCTTCCTGTTTTTAACATGTTTGTACTCTATTTCAGACGTGGGTGAGCACTAGATTTCTTCTCTAGGTTTTAATCCTACCAGTCTTAAAGTCCTTATGTGCCTTTCTTATGCAAATAATCTCAACTGAGCCAAGTATATGTGGAGTAGAATAATTAACCTCCTAAATTGAGTTCCTTTTTTTATTGTTGTTGGTCTCAGTGCTTGAACTTGAGCCATAGCGCCACTTCCGGTTTTCTGGTGGTTTATTGGAGATGAGAGTCTCATGGACATTCCTGCCCAGGCTGGCTTTGAACCATGATCCTCAGACCTCAGCCTCCTGAGTAGCTAGGATTATAGGCGTAAGCTACTGGTGCCCAGCTGAGTTCCTTTTAACTCTCAAAGTATTTTCTCAGAATCAGTTCCATTTTTTTGTTGGTGGTAGAACTGACCTTTCAAAGTCTTTATGACAAATACAAGGTGGTTTAACATGATATTGCCTCATTGAATAAAATTGTCCACCTCCCATTTTCCCAATATGTATATATCTTATTCTATTCCTATATGTGGCAAAAGGTGGGCTCTGAGTTTGACTCCCTTGTTCTACAGTGTGGTCAATTGGAAAGAAAAGACATTTCCAGGGTGCTGACCCACCCAGCCTTTTGCTTTTGGGCAAATCAGTATTACCAAGTAAGTTAGAAGGGCCTCATTCATTAAAATATGAATAATGGTTTTTATCTTGCTGGGTAGTTTTTTTATTTTTTTTTGGGGGGGGGGGTCCGGTCGTGGGGCCTAAATTCTGGGCCTGGGAGCTCTAAAGCTCAAGGCTAGCGCTCTACCACTTGAGCCACAGCATCACTTCCAGCTTTTTTCCTTTTTGCTTATGTGGTACTGGGGAATCGAACCCTGGACCTCCTGCATGCAAAGCAAGCTCTCTACCACTGAGCCCCTTCCCAGCCCCTGGCTGGGTAGTTTTAAAATTAAATAATGTTTTAGTGCATGAGGGCCACTGGTTAGCCTAACGGTCCTGCTTTCTCTCCTTCAACAGTCAAGTGAATATATATTATTTCTTGTGTTTATTAAATCTATTTGTGTTCTCTTAATTTATAAGTATATAAAGAAAAAAATAATCCAGGATATAGCAATTGTTTCAGTATATTCCAGCACTAAAAAAAAAAAGGACAACTGTACAAATTCAGTTATTTTTAATTTGTGTGTACCTTGATTTTCATTCCTGTCGCTAATCCTGTTTGTAGGATTCCCTTATGTTCATAATTAAGTTTTGGTTGTTAAAAAGTACTAAACAAGCATAGTTCCCTTAATTTTAATTTTTAATGATTTTTATTACAGCTACTTAGTCTGGGCTGGGAAGGTGGCTCAGTGGTAGAATGCTTGCCTTGCATGCATGAGGTTTGATCCTCAGCACCACATTAGAAAAGGCCAGAAGTGATCCTGTGGCTCAAGTGGTAGAGCAGTAGCCGTGAGTTGAAGAGCTGAGGGACAGCGCCCAGGCCCAGAGTTCAAGCCCCACAACCGACCAAAAAAAAAAAAATAGTGCTATAGATGTGGTCCAATAGACCCCCAGGGCTTCAGTTCTAGCTTTAGCCTAATGGTATTAGAAATACTTCATTTTTGTACATTTCACTTAAAAACTATTCTAATCCCCTTAGTTTTTCAAAGTTTTCAGAAGAAGCTGAAATTTGTCAGGCATGGTGGCTTATGCCTGTTATCTCAAAACCCTGGAGCCTGAAATAGGAAGATGGAGAGTTCAAGACAGCATAGCTACAAAGTGAGAGCTAGTCTCAAAACATGCAAACCAAAAAGGTGCTAGGGATATAATTTAGTGGTATACAGCTTGCCTAGCATGCAAATGGCCCTGGATTCAATTCCTAGTGATAGAGGAGGTGATGGAAAAAAAAAAAAATGGAAGTAGCATTATGGCTTAAAGTGGTAGAGTGCTAGCTTTGAGCAAAAAAGCTCAGGGACAGTGACCAGGCCCTGAGGTCAAGCCCCAGGACCAACAAAAAAAAAAAAACAACCAAAACTAAAATTCGGTATCTGAAGAGTTGCTACTTGAGTGGTAGAGAGTTTGCCTAGCATACATGGAACCCTGGGTTCATTCCTTAGTACCACTTAAACAGAAAAGGCCAGAAGTGGTACTGTGGTTCAAGTGGTAGAGTGCTAGCCTACAGCAAAAAGAAGCCCAGAAAGAGTGCCCAGGCTCTTGAGTTCAAGCTCCATGACTGGCAAAAGAAAAAAAAAGTTGATACTTAAAGGTAATATTTGTCTAAGTTTAATTTTGTTCCTTTTTTAGAGCATTTGGTTTTTAGAATTAGGTTTGGCTTTTCTTCTTTTCTTATTTTTCCTTGACTTTCTTTTCAGACAACTTTTTACAAGGGAAACAGTTCCATGAAGACTTGGAAAACATACTTTCACCCCAAGGGAACTTAAAAGAGAGAGATGGAAATCTCCAATGTGGTTATATTGAAAGTGTCCGGCATATCTTGAAAGATATTAGTGGAGTACTCGCTCTTGAAAGTGCTGTTCAACATGAGACCTTAAAGTATGTTGGTCTGCTGGACTGTGTGGCTGAGTATCAGTAAGTATAAGTTTGTTTCCATCATAGTATGGCTGTGAATTAATGGCAGATGGGACAGATGGTGCCTGGTTCAGACACTTTTCCTCATAATCCCTGTTTCAACGTATGTACAGGAACTATGTATAGTTACTGCCTCTTTAAAGTGAAACTTGTAGGTGGGCGCTAGTGGCTCATGCCTGTAATGCTAGTGACTCAGGAGGCTGAGATTTGAGGATCATGGTTCAAAGCCAGCCAGGCAGGAAAGTCTGTGAGACTCTTAAATCCAAAAATGACTCAGAAAAAGCCAGAAGTGGGCTGGGAAGGTGGCTCAGTGGTAGAGCATTTGCCTTGCATGCTCAAGGCCCTGGGTTCGATTCCTCAGCACCACATAAGCAAAAAGAAAAAAAGCCGGAAGTGGCGCTGTGACTCAAGTGGTAGAGCGCTAGCCTTGAGCTGAAGAGCTGAGGGACAGAGTTCAGGCCCCACATCCGGACCCAAAAAAAAAAAAAAGCCAGAAGTGGTACTATGGCTCAAGTGGTAGAGCACTAGTCTTGAGCTCAGAGAGGCTCAGGGACAGAGCCCAGGCCCTGAGTTCAAGCCCCAAGACCGGGGGGAAAAAGTGAAACCTATATACTCTAGGTAAAACAATTGGGAATCTGGTGAAGATAAGGACAGGCCTAGGGGAAAGCCACATAATTCCTGGTGAAGAAAAAGTATACTTTTTGGGCTGGAAAGGTGGCTCAGTGGTAGAGCGCTTGCCTTGCATGCATGAGCCCTGGGTTCAATTCCACAGCACCACATAAGCAAAAAGATAAAAGCCGTAAGTGGTACTGTGGCTCAAGTGGTAGAGCGCTAGCCTTGAGCTGAAGAGCTGAGGGACAGCGTCCAGGCCCAGAGTTCAGGCCCCACAACTGGACCAAAAAACAAAAAAAAAAAAAAAGAAAGAAAAAAAAAGAAAAAGTATACTTTTTAACATACTTAGCATGGCCTATCTTCCCCTTTCCTCAAGAAAGATACCAGCATTAAAAGCCAGCTCAAGTTCTTCATTTTCATTCCCTTTTTTTCGGGTTGTTGGTTGGTTATTTTTCCTGTTTTCTTAAAGATTGTACCATTGTCCATTAGCCTTGAAAATCAACTCTCTTCCTGGCTTTCTTGGAGTGTTTGATATGATAAGAACTCTAAACTTACTAAAGCTTCCTGCAGATTTTAAATTTCTGCTGTTACTGTTTTTCCCAGTTACTCCAGATTTCATGGGTAACTCTAGCCTGATAGATAACCCCTGTTCCACAGAAAGCATGTGAGCAATAACAACAGGATAAGGAAAAAAGACTTTGTATAACCCTTGGAGCTCTAGTTAAAATTTAAGCTAAAAAAGGGTGGAGGGGGCTGGGAATGTGGCTTAGTGATAAAGTGCTTGCCTAGCATCCTTGAAGCACTGTGTTTGATTCCTGGATATCACATAAACAGAAAAGGCTGGAAGTAGTGCTGTGGCTCAAAGTGGTAGAGTGCTAGCCTTGAGCAAAAGAAGCCCAGACACAGTGCCCAGGCCCTGAGTTCAAGCCCCAGGACTGTCCCCCCCACCCCCCCCCAAAAAAAAGAAAAGATTGCCAGGGCTAGGGTTATATCTTAGTGGTGATATGTGCTTAGTACACACAAGGCTCTGGGTTTGATCTCTAGCCTCATGTTCATCCTCAAACTTGCATGTGCACACACAGAGATATTCAATCACACACAAATCGACAATACTCATTAGTATAGAGACTTGAAAATACCTACAGCTTTGAAGCATAGCTACCTTGTATCTGGAAAAATAGCCTATTTGGCTGCCCTTTAGCCAAGGGAACTATGCAGTCCATCTATCCATGACTTATAATTGCCTTATTTCAATTTTAATGTAGCCTTATTCTCCAAGATACTTTTTTAAGTTCCTGATTGACAAATAGTAATTATAGTTACATATATGGAGCATAATACTTTTTTGTGAATTTTGGGTTTTTTTGTTTTTTGTTTTTGATCATGGGGCTTGAACTCTGGGTCTAAGCACTCCTCAGCTCTTTAGCTCTTTTTTTTTTCTTTTTTTTTTTTTTAATTGTGAAAATACTGTACAGAGGGGTTACAATTCATGGGCAAGATAATGAGTACATTTCTTATCAAGTATTGTAGCCTCCTCCTTTGTTTCCCCTTCCCATCCCTTCCCATCCTCCTCCCCAGGCCCCCACCCAATCTTCCCCCGCCCCCACCAAAGTTGTAAAATTCTTTTTCGACATAACAACTTGTACATCTCATAGTTGCAATGGGTCCACCTGTATCCCTATTTAAACGATTTGTTTTTTCCCTTCCCCTCCACAATTTATACCAACATCAAATACAGTGAAAGCAGGGGTTGTACCGTGGGGGAGGGACATACAAAACAACAAAGAAATATCTTACAAATGTGTTAGAAACAATCGCATGAAAGAAAAAAATTTGAATACATATCTTAGGGTTCATTTCCCTAACATCAAAAGCTCTTAAGCTCTTTAACTCTTGAGCCACAGCACCACTTCTGGTTTACTGGTGGGGGGTTTTTTGGGGGGGAGGGGGAGGCGATACGAGTTTCATGGTCTTTCCTGCCTGGACTGGCTTTGAACCACGATCCTCAGATCTCAGCCTCCTGAGTAGCTAGGATTACAGGCATGAGCCACCAATACCCAGCTAGTGGTGTGTGTGTGTGTGTGTGTGTGTGTGTGTGTGTGTGTGTGTGTGTATATACACACATATATATATTAACATCTGTCACCTCACCATTTTTTGTAGTGTTAATTTTTATTCTCTTAGTAACTTAAATCTATAACACCTTGTTGTTAACTATAGTCACCATACAACTTAGTAATTTAAGATTACTAAAACTTAAATTCCTCCTGCCTTTTGAAAGGTATCTCTTCCCTTCCCTCACTTTGTCTCCAGCCTCTAGTAACCACTATTCTACTCTTCTATTTTCACTTTCTTTATGTTCTGAATATAAGAGACATCATAGCCAGCCACTAGTGGCTCACACCTGTAATCCTAGCTACTAAGAAGGCTGAGCTCTGAGGATTGCAGTTCAAAGCCAGCCTGGACAGGAAAGTCTGTGAGACTCTTTATCTCCAATAAACCACCAGCTCAAGTGGTAGAGCACTACCCTTGAGCTGAAGAGCTGAGAGACAGCACCCAGGCCCAGAGTTCAAGCCCCACAATGACAAAAAGAGAGAGAAAGAGAGACTGACATCAAGAAGTATTGATATTTCTGTGCCTAGGTTGTTTAACTCCGCACACTGTCCTCTAGGTTTCTCTATATTGCCCTCCAATCCCTTTGATGTCTACAGTTGGCAAGTATAAAGCCCTACTGGAATGCAGGAAGTAGGAAAGAGCATCTTCTCTTTTTTTCTTTTTTTGTCGGTTGTGAGGCTTGAACTCTGGGCCTGGGCGCTGTCCCTGTGCTCTTCAGTTCAAGGGCTCTTCAGCTCAAGGCTAGCGCTCTACCGCTTGAGCCACAGCACCACTTCCAGTTTTCTAGTGGTTTATTGGAGATAAGAGTTTCAAGGACTTTCCTGCCCCGGCGGGCTTTGAACCACAATCCTTAGATCTCAGCCTCCTGAGTAGCTAGGATTACAGGCGTGAGCCAAGTCCTGGCTGAGCCTTCGATTTTTGAGGAAGAGGGTTTTCTGGTTGTGGTGGTGGTGGTAGTTTATTTTTTTTTAATAGGTACTGCAGCTTGAACCAAGGCCTTACATTCTCACTCCCACTAACAGCTGATGCTCTACCAGTTGACCCACCTCTGTGGTTATTTAGAAACTGGAGTCTGGATTTATCTGCCAAGGCTGGCGCCAAACCAAAATTCTCAAATCTCAGCTTCATGAATATGTTATAGTCATGAGCCACCAGTGCCTGCAGCAAAAGAACTTTTTGAGTGCCATAATATATAATCATTCATGATGGAGACTTTGCTGCTGATAGTGAGCTTCTGATAGTTGATAGGAAAATCAACCAAAGCTGAGCATTGGTGGCTCTGTAATCCTAGATACTCAGGAAGCTGAGATCTGAGGATTGTGGTTCAAAGCCAGCCCAAACAGGAAATTCCAGTAAACTGCTCAGAAAACCAAAAGTGGTACTGTGGCTCAAGTGGTAAAGCACTGGCCTTGAGCTGAAGAGCTGAAGGATAGTGCCCAGGCCCAGAGTTCAAGCCCCACGACCCACAAAAAAAGAAAGAAAAGAGAAATCAACCAAGACAAAGCCAGGCACTGATGGCTTATGCCTGTAATCCAAGCTACTCAAGAAGCTGAGATCTTAAAATGGTAATGCAAAGCCAGCCCTGGCAGGCAAAATTGCTCACGAGCAGCACCTAGACCCTGAGTTCAAGCCACTAGGACAACCAAAATAAAACAAAAATCAAAATCAACCAAAATGATGATAGGTGTAATTTCAATTCATGACAGTTGTTAAAGGGTGCCCAAGAAATCCTAGTTAATTTTCAGAAAATTTAGAAATTTAAACTGCAGAAAAGTTATCTCCCCACATTCCCATATTTGACTTTTTTTTTTTTTTGTCGGTCGTGAGGCTTGAACTTTGGGCGTGGGCACTGTCCCTCAGCTCTTCAGCTCAAGGCCAGCGCTCTACCACTTGAGCTACAGCGCCACTTCCGGTTTTCTGGTGGTTTATTAGAGATAGGAGTCTCACGGTCTTTCCTGCCCGGGCTGGCTTTGAACTGCCATCCTCAGATCTCAGCCTCCTGAGTAGCTAGGATTATAGGCGTGAGCCACCAGTGCCCGGCCATATTTGACATTTTTAAAGGTATACTTTGGAAAGTATTTTCCATCATAACACCCCTCATTGGCTCATTACCTACCTGAGGAAGGGATCAGAAGGAAAACAGCATCACACCTCTCCCTCCCTCTCTCCCTTCTTTTTTCTTCCTTCCTTCCTTTGTTTTGTGTGTGTGTGTGTGTGTGTGTGTGGATCAGAAGGAAAACAGCATCACACCTCTCCCTCCCTCTCTCCCTTCTTTTTTCTTCCTTCCTTCCTTTGTTTTTCGTGTGTGTGTGTGTGTGTGTGTGTGTGTGTGTGTGTGTGTGTGTGTGTGTGTGTGTTGCTGTAGGTAGAAAAGCACTTGTTCCTCAAGCTACACCCTTTGCCCCATGAAGGCTTTCTGAACTAATCCTAAGTAAAGCCCATTTGGAAAGTGGAAAATAGAAGTAGCTGTCATTGAGTGACTAGAACTAAACAATGCATAAAAAGGAGAATTTCCCTAGTAGAGTTTTTCAGTTTGAAATGTTACCTACAAAGACTTCCTTTGGTTTTTCTTTAGGGGCAAGCTGTGTGTGATTGATTGGAAGACATCAGAAAAGCCAAAGCCATATATCCGAAACACGTATGACAACCCACTACAAGTTGTGGCATACATGGGTGCCATAAATCATGATGCCAACTACAGTTTTCAGGTCAGAAGACTGTTTGCTTTACTTAATCCTTACTTACAGCTATATAACTCTTTATGGTTTTTACTCTATTTTTATCCAACTGCTGACTCTGTTTCTTGTTCTTTTTTTGTCCTCTCTTCCTGTGCTGCTTTTTTAATAGCTCCTTAATGAGCACAGAACATTCTTCATTGTTTTATCTGTTATCTTTGTATTCTCATATGTCCCAGTATAGTCTTTTATCAACCAACCTGAAAAATTGAATTTGGAGATATTATTGTAGATTGTTTAGTCCTGAGCTTATTTGCTCTGGAGCATGAAAGAAATGAACCTACACTCTAGATATAATATTTCTATATTGGAATTGCCCTGTGTTTCTTTCTAGGTTCAGTGTGGCTTAATTGTGGTGGCCTACAAAGATGGATCCCCTGCCCATCCACATTTCATGGATACAGAGCTATGTTCGCAGTACTGGGTCAAGTGGCTTCTTCGCCTAGAAGAATATGCAGAAAAGGAAATGAGCCAAACTATTCAGAAACCAGATTAGGAGGCAGGACATTACTTAGAAGTATTTAGTACTTTCTCACTGCTTCAAGAGATAGATTGCAGTTCATTGTGTTCTGAAAATAGAGGTGCTACTGAATTTGAGAGCTACATTGACACAGCAGAAGTATTAATTCGTTGAATTTCACTGAAAAGGTTGAAAAGCTACAGAAGCCTAGATTTAAAGAGCCAAAAGTCAGTGCATGTAATACTAGAGGTAGCCATGCTACCTCTGACTATTACTTACCTGAAAAGAGGGCAAGCAGGATTGGCAGTTACTTCCTTGAAGACTATTATGTTCTTGGCCGGATGCCCAGGCTTTGAATTGAGATTGGGAGGCAATGAGGCTTGTTGTGCCAAGCATTTTCCCAGGGCTGTCAGGCCGAGAAGGAGCTGTGCACCTCAGGAGTGTGTATAAAGGGAAAACTCATCAGCTGATCAACACTGCCAACACCATTTTCTAAAATAGGTTTTGCATTTTGGGGTTCTATATTGTTGCAGTTAGTAAGCTAAATTTAGTTTTAACACTAACTACATGCATATATGATTAGCCTGGAGTAAACATTGCTTTCTGGAAGTAAGATCATTGGCAGTATCCCACCGTTTGCTTACCAGAAGTAGTGAGGACCAATGTGAAAATCACCACAGGGGGTTCAGTTGCTGTTTCTGGTGCTAGTCAATAGATACGTACATGGAAAAGGTTTATCACTCATGGAATTTTTCATCTCTAAGGACCACTAATAAAATAATGATTTTTTTCTTGTGTTTGATATGTAATAAAAGTTCTTAGTTATCCTGGGTTTGGGAAACAATTAAAAACACCCCCCTGGGAAAGAGCCTTCTGTTTCACAAAGTGAGTCCAGAGCCATTTGCATGATAGTTGCTAACTTTTAAAAGGAAGGCTGATACATCACTTTTTCATTATTATAAGAAAAGATGAATAATGAGGCTTTGGTCTTATTGAAATATATGTTTTTTGGTTTTTGTTCTTCTTTTGTGTTTTGGTCAGTTATGGGTCTTGAACTCTGGGCCAGGTGCTATCCTTCAGCTCCGTAATCCTCAGACCTCAGCCTCCTCAGTAGCTAGGATTACAAGTGTAATCCTGGAACTTTTTTGAACTTCGTTATTTTATTTTTGATGGTGCTGGGTTTCAAACCCAGAGCATCACACATGCTGGGTTTTACTGAGCTGTACTACTCAATCTCTGTACTTTGTGTTTCTGTTTCTTTTGGCAGTACTATGGTTTGAACTCAGAGGCCCGTGCTTCTTAAGCAGATGTTCTGCTGCTAAGTCCTTTTGTGCTGTTTACTTTTATGATAGGGTCTTGCTTGTAGCCCAGACATACAGATCTCCATCTTTCTATTTTAGCCTTCCTGCAGTAGCTGAGAGGACAAGCACACACCACCCTGCCCTTTTTTTATCTTTAAGATAGTCTTCTCACTTGCCTGTGGGTCTGGCCTATAATCCTAGCTACTCTGGAAGTTGAGATCAGTGTAACAGCTGAAGTGGTAAAGTACTAGCCTTGAGCAACAACCCTCAGGGACAGCCCCCAGACCCTGAGCCTGATCAAACTTCACAACCAAAACACACATACACTGAAGTCTCGAGCTGGCCTGGAACCTTGATCCTCCCAATCTCAACCTCCTAAATAGGATTATGGGCATGAACCTAACTTTCTTAAATTTTATTGTAAAGATGGTGCACAGAGGGGTTACAGTTATGTAAGTCAGATAGTGAGTGCATCTTTTTTGAGCAGTGTCACCTCTTCCCTCTAACTTGTTTTTAAATGCATAATTTTACTATTGGCCCCATAGATTATTGAGATCTATGTAAGTGCAAGTGAAGCATCCTCAGTAAGTTCTCAACCATGGTCACCAGCAAGTGATAGATTTTTTTCAAGTAGCATATGTCCCTAAAGTCCACAATTTTTTTTATTGTAAAGATACTATACAGAGGGTTACAGTTACATGAGTGAGGTAATGAGTACACTTCCTCTTGAACATTGTTACCCCCTTCATTG